AAAACGCGCCTGATTTAAATGTCACACCTGAACGCTCACATCCTTTTAATTATGTTTGAAATTATGAACATTGCTCAACATCATGAAAATTAAACCTTATTTTCAATAAGCAATCCTGAAAAATATTTGGGGGTGCTTAACTTTTTTCAGGTGTTTGCTTACACTTTCTTTTGCTCTGAATCTGATCTGAGTTATTACTTGTAAACAACTAAAAATGAACCTATGAAGATTATTCCTGTTTTTGGTTTGTAGTGATTTTTGAGTGATGTCTTATGCTAGATGGGATTATGAAATAATTAATAACAAACAGGTGTATAAATGGAATACGTTAATTGTTAAACTATATACCATGTATCGGCAATAAACAACTATTTATAACTTCAAATAGGGACATTGCTCCAAACGCCAAAAAACCAATTACATAATTGAAGGTCCAGACATTGAGAATTTCAACTGCAGTAAGAGAGTAAGGATAGCCAAATGGGTTGACAAAAAATTTCTACCAGGAAAGCCAAATGACTTTTTCTGTATTTCTAGACATCTCCATTTTAGCGGACGAAAACTCCGTGTAGCAGCAGTGAGTGTAAGTGTATTCAATTTACGTTAATTAACTTGCGCTTATAGCAGCAGCGAGTGTAAGTGTATTCAATTTACGTTAATTAACTTGCGCTTATGGCAGCAGTGAGTGTAAGTGTATTCAATTTACGTTAATTAACTTGCGTTCATAGCAGCAGCGAGTGTAAGTGTATTCAATTTACGTTAATTAACTTGCGCTCATAGCAGCAGTGAGTGTAAGTGTATTCAATTGACGTTAATTAACTTGTGCTCATAGCAGCAGTGAGTGTAAGTGTATTCAATTTACGTTAATTAACTTGCGCTCATAGCAGCAGTGAGTGTAAGTGTATTCAATTTACGTTAATTAACTTGCGCTCATAGCAGCAGCGAGTGTAAGTGTATTCAATTTACGTTAATTAACTTGCGTTCATAGCAGCAGCGAGTGTAAGAGTATTCAATTTACGTTAATTAACTTACTCAAAGATATTTTACTTCTCTGTTTGTGAGATTCCATTATAAAAGTGTTCGAACAATTGATATATATATTATCTCTGGGACTCAGTACAATACGCATGTTACTTCTATTTAGGATATCATCCTCATATCCATAAATCCCCGTCACACCAAACATGCTCGCCCTTTCAACCGTGGGTGCGTTATAATGTGACGGTCAATCCCACTATTCGTTGGTAAAAGAGTAGCCCACGAGTTGGCGATGGGTGGTGATGACTAACTGCCTTCCCTCTAGTCTTACACTGCTAAATTAGGGATGGTTAGCGCAGAGAGCCCTCGTGTAGCTTTGTGCGAAATTCAAAACAAACAAACAAGCAGTGTGTCTTTGAGCAGGTTGTTTAGACCGTACGACACACTACTTGATCTGTCAGCAAGAAGAAAAACTACATTTCTATTGATATTTATATTCAACTCTAGTCGCCGTAATTATCAGAAGGACAATCGTTTTAGAGAAGTTTATTTCTTTCAATCTCAGTATCTGAACATTATCATACAAGTCAGTGAATTCCTTGGAATATTGATTCCTTATTGTAACCACACTTAGTCTGAAAAACAACAACATTCTATTCAATTCGAATAATTGACACAACATAAGAATATTTATCTGTAAAGGCGAAATAAGTAACGTATATAAAATTTACTTATATCCATTTAACGACTGCATATCACAAACAGCTGAAGAATAAAACTAGTATTAGTGCCGAAACTTTGTAGAATGGACGGCAACTGCCTGTTGTAGAGACACAAGTGTAGAGGACGACGTTTCGAAAGTCTTCCACCTTTCGTCTTCAGGCAGTTTCCGTCCATTCTAGAAAGTTTCATCACGAATACTCTGCCTATACAATCTATCAAAGAATAGTATTAGTGCTACTCCATACGAACGTATCGCCTATTTTGTGTCTGTTGAAATGGGCGCTAAGAAACTTGTATATTAAATGGATTATGGAAAGCTTGCAGCAATGTGGAGGTTGCTTTTAATATGACATCCTTACGAGCCTTTTTCACCATAAACCAATCTTTAGGGTTTTTTATAATAAAAGAGTTAGCACAAAGGATCACACATATAAAGTGTAATAGACTTTGTTCTCCTGAAGAAGAATAGTCAACTATTCGAAAGCGCTCGAGTTTTGGGTCTTATTTGAAGTCTACTAATATTTAGGGTTATTGTCAAGAAGCACGATCGTCAGATAGAACAAGTCCGGATGTGGCAACATGGACTATAATGAGTGGCGATTCTCTAAAATTGTTTTAATAATACGTATACTCAGACTCTGTAAAACAGTGAAACGAAATAAAATATAATATTTGTGTTTTTCACTTAGTTTAAGGAAAAAACAACAGTTCAGTTTCTAGCCCGAAGGCATTTATAGTAGACACACGATTCTTAAATTTATAATTATATAACATTGCCGCTTGTAGATTTTAAAAGCTGCTCATTATAAAAACTAAATGACAGAATGATATTTGTAACTTTTTTTTAGCTTTTCCCATTCTTCGTCCAGGAAGTCGATTCAACCGGAGAGATAAAAGGAAAAGAAGGCATTGATCTAAAACTTTTAGAGATTTTGGCAGAAAAATACAACTTTAGGTAATTTTTACAGTAAATAAATTATTTGTTTTGGTGTTGTTTGAATCATCTTCAATATTATTACTTGACAAGTATATTTCCTTTAAAAAATAACGGATGTAAAAGTTTACAGTATTGCCCTTTTGGGTTATTCACACATTTAATAGTTTTTGTTGTTTCCTTAGCGCAAAGCTAGGTTATCTATACTTTGTCCACTCCGGGAATCTAAACCAGAATTTTAGTGTTGTAAGTCAATAATCTTATCTCTAACCCACCGGGTGACTATAATATGAATAGAGAAATACTTAATTTGTATCCAACATCAATAAAACCTTACATATAGCAATATATCTAATATATAATAACTGAAACTCAAGTTCCAGTTTAGGATTCGATATTGGTTTAATCAAACATAACTTTTTAAAGTATAAGAGCTTTTAACGTTGTCAACAATGCTAACATAGATAAATCATAGTCGTTTACAAGAGTATAGACCAACTAATATTCCACCAGAATATTATAATAAATCATGTGTATTCCACCAATAAACAATGAAATATTTAACAAAGTACACCAATAAACAATGAAGTATTTAACAAAGTACACCAATAAACAATGAAGTATTTAACAAGGTACACCAATAAACGACGAAGTTAATTCTCATCAATAATTAAAATACTGGGAAGATAAAATCAAAGAAGAAACTACTGTGAAATTTAAATATCGCCAAAACAGTTGCATTAGCGAAAGCAATAGCTGTTAAAAAAATGATTAAATATAATGAGGATAGCAGCTAGCCAAAAGTTAAAATAAAATATTTAATCACATACCACGTGCTATTAAATAAACATACAAGTAATCCAATGGCTACAAAATAGAATTATTCAAAGAAACATAACAGCCAGTACTTCTATATTAGCTCAGAAGAAACATTTCGTAAAACAATAAAACCTTTCAAATGAAACAGTATTTTTATAATTACTTCGGTGAAAGACTTTCAACATGAACAATAATAATAATAATTTAAAAACGCACAAACATAATTACTGTACTTTGTTAAATACTTCATTGTTTATTGGTGTACTTTGTTAAATACTTCATTGTTTATTGGTGTACTTTGTTAAATACTTCATCGTTTATTGGTGTATTTTGTTAAATACTTCATTGTTTATTGGTGTACTTTGTTAAATACTTCATTGAACTCTGCCGTGAGTAGCTCTGTTATTTAAAGGGGTGGTCAAAACAAACCATATTTCTGATATAGTTTAAGGAACTTAAAACTAGGAAAAATTATTCTTGCTGAATATTAGTAATTTCTAACAGATTCGTGACGTATTTAACAAAGTACACTAATAAACAATGAAGTATTTAACAAAGTACACCAATAAACAAAAAACTTATAGATAAAACAAAACAACTTATA